TAAAGAAACTCCTAGGCGGCTTCCTCAGGCTCTTGTTCCACTTGGCGGAAAATCTGATGCAGCCCAGCCTCAACCAGACTCTGCCTCCAGCGGCCCCCTGGAAAATTGAGTTTGAGACCCCTGCACTAGAGGGAGGTGGTGCTGCTGCAGGTTAAACCACAGAAGCCCCTGTGCTGTAAGGTCTGTAGATCTTCAGCTGTAAGATCAAATCCAGGTGATGGAGTGAGTGCCCATTGCTTGTCCCAGCTCCCGCCAACCTAGCGGTTCGAAAGCATGCAAATGCGAGTAGATAAATAAGGACCATCTTGGTGGGAAGGTAACAGCGTTCCATGTCTAAGTCGCACTGGCCATGTGACCATGGAAGATTGTCTTCGGACAAATGCTGGCTCTATGGCTTGGAAACAGGGATGAGCACCACCCCCTAGAGTTGAACACTACTGGACAAAAATTGTCAAGGGGAACCTTTACCTTACACACTATCTAAAAGACTATATCTCCCTTTATGAGCCTACTCAGATATTAAGATCATCAGAAGAGGCCTTTCTCATGGTCTCACCACCTTCACAGACATGTTTGGTGAGGACAGAGGAGAGGGCCTTTTCTGTTGCTCCTCCCAGACTCTGGAACTCCCTCCCACAGGAGGCCAGGCTGTTCCCATCTCTGTTGTCCTTTCACAGGCAGTCAAAGGCCTTTCTTTTCAGAAAGGCTTTTCTTTAAGTGGCCAGTTGACCAAGAGAATTTTTTCAAAGGGAGCATTTTATTCTGTTTTTCTTGTGTTTTTAATATTGTTCTTATTATGAGTTTTTAATATGATAGTTGTTTAATGATTTTAGAATATTACAATAATTTATTACTTAGCTTTTAACTTTGTTTCTTTTAAATGCTGTAAGCTGCCTTGAATCCTTTGGGAGAAAGGTGACGTATACATATTTTTAACAATAAATAAATAATAGAGGACCAACATGAGGCTCCAAAACATTACGGGAAGTAGATCAGGAGGAGAAATAAATACTGAGACTTGGAAGAATGTATGGAATGAAATAATTTTAAGATGTAAGGATATCCTTTTGTAAGGATAAAAGAATTTTTTTGGTAAATTAGTTTGGAGATGGTATTTAACATTGGTAGAGTTGATTTGTATGGATAATAAATATTCTACTTTAGGTGGCCCTCAACATTGAAAGCACATATATACTTAGCTTCTGGAATTAAACTGAAATAAGAGATCATTAATCAGGGTAAAGGCATAAGATGGTGGTTTTTAAGGTAAATTGAAGATAGGTTTATTTAATGAATATACACTAGATATGATACTGATATAGACGTGACAGAAAACATGGAGATAAAAATGGCTAAACAATTATATAAAGAAACTCTGTATAAAATACTTTAGATATCATCTATTATGGGTTAGGAACCTACTCAGTTAGGAACGTACTACCAACATGAATTTGACCAAACTCCAAGAGGCAGTGGAATACAGGAGTACCTGGCATGCTTTGGTCTATGGGGTCAGACATGACTTAACGACTAAACAACAACAAACCCACTCAGTTATTATTGGTATAAAGTTCAGCGGTTAAATACCTCAAAATATAGATTTGGAACCGGAATCACTTTTATTAGGTATGTTTCTAGAGGATTTTGAGAACATTGTATACTCTGAGAGCAATATTATGATAGTAACCAATATTGTATACTAAAATACACACATGACCAGTTTAAATATTTAAAAAATGTAGAGATTTTGAAGAGACAACTAAGAAGACACTAAGATGCAAAAAACCAAATAATTATATGCAAACCATGTAACATGATGTTTAAAAAGCACAAATTGAATGTAGATAGAATGAAAAATTAATAAATGTTTTTTTATATTTTCCTCTATGTTGGAGGTGTGATAAGGATGTAGGCACCTATTTCCATATTTGGTGGGAGTGTGAGAATATATTGAAATTTTGGAAATTGTTTTTAAAACAAATAAATGAAATATTAAAGTTGAATTTTAAAATATATCCTAAAATAGTGCTTTTATCAATATTTGTGAGTGAGCAGTGCAACTGGACAATGAAAGCATTGATTACAAATGTATTAATAATGGCTAGATAATACCCAATAGAAGGTGGTGGCGCTGCAGGTTAAACCGCAGAAGCCTCTGTGCTGCAGGGTCAGAAGACCAGCAGTCGTAAGATTGAATCCACGCGACGGAGTGAGCTCCCGTCGCTTGTCCCAGCTCCTGCCAACCTAGCAGTTCGAAAGCATGTAAAAAATGCAAGTAGATAAATAGGTACCACCACGGTGGGAAGGTAACGGCATTTCGTGTCTAGTCGTAGTGGCCACGTGACCACGAAAACTGTCTTCGGACAGATGCTGGTTGTATGGCTTGGAAACGGGGATGAGCACCGCCCCCTAGAGTTGGACACGACTGGACTAAATGTCAACGGGAACCTTTACCTTTACCTAGATAATACCAAAGTATTGGAAATGTAAGTATGCTTTTCAGTATGGTTTCCCATTCCGCTTTTCAGGTTCTGAGACTCCCTAGTCTTCCCTTTTGTTCTGGGAGAAGTCTTTGAGAACCTTGGGACTAGGAGAGACCCTTTAATATTATCTGTCTGTGGAGCCAGAGGTTGGGAGATCAATTCCCCACTGTGTCTCCTTGAACTTGATGATCCTTAGGTCTCTTACAGCAATTCAGTTTTAAGATTGTTATTATAATTAAATGCCTGCTTTTTATTTGTTTATTTATTTATTTAAAATATTTTATAGCCTGCCCTATACCATAGAATCTCAAGATGGATAACAGAGCTACATGAACCAATTTTAAAATGTAAGGTAATTAAAACAAAATCAAACCATTCAAATATCAAAACCATTTCACTAAATCCTGTACAGGCCATGATCCTCAAGCTCCAAAGACTTTAATAAATAAGTTTATCTTGATTTGGCATGGAAGTGGTTCCCATGTTCGTGCCAGTTGGGATTCCAAGGGGAGGGCATTCCACAGTCAGGGTGCTATGGCAAAAAAAAAAAAAGCTATTATGTAGACATTGGCCGAAATCCAACTGCTACTCTCAGCTAGAGTAAACCCATTGAATCAACTTTTGAATAATAAATCAACACTTAAATAAATCACAGTAATTCAATGAGTCCATTCTAATTGAGATGAGCAGTTGGTTTTAGACCTTTAAAACTGCTGCTTAGCTTCTTCTCCCGATATGAACTCATAACTCAATCCCAGCATTTAAAGTGCTCTGGTCCAGTTGCTTTGAGTGATACGTCTCAGCAGCTATCTCAGCTTCAGGAAACATGACATCAATCAGAATTTGCAGTGACATTTACTTGTATGTTTCAGATAGATATGTCAGTTTGACACTTGGTAGAAAGTGCACTATGTGATTTTAGTTTTGTATTAGTTCCTTGCTTAGAAGCTTCAAACTGTTTTATCTTATCACCACATAGCTGGAAACTTTTCCCTTTCCCCATGCATTTGTGGATCAAACCCTTGCAATTCTGAGTAAGTCAGACGTAGTATGGAAGTTACTTTTAGCCCATGTTAATGTGCATAATTGTAGGAATAAAATAGAGAGTTGGCAGCATGTAAAAATATAGTGCACATTGCCCTTTAAAATTGGTTTGTGGCTTAAAATAGGTGCAGCTTATAAGACTTTAAAGCATCACTGTGATTTAAGGGGGAAAGGGAGATAAAGTAGCAGTTTATGGTGTGAACAACTGAAGCTCGATTTCTTTCATCCATGCTTTACAACAGCCTCCATTTCCTTCTTTCTGGCTACTAACACAATGTTTTTAGTTTCTAGGGAATAAGCGTGCTGTGACTGCCACTAAGCACTGTTTACTGCAATGCACTTTATCAGTCTTAGCAGATCCTACATGCTGAGAATGGAGAAGGCGTACAGTGGAACACATTAATCACGTAAACACCAACAGTGTCGATATAAGGCACAAGAGAAGAACTAACTCTTAAAAAGTATTGATTTTTATTTTATCTTTTCTCCTCCACCCTATGTTCTTCCAGGTTATTGTAGCTCCTCATTCCACTGCTGAACTACCAGTTCAATTTTGTCCTTCAGCCCTAGGAAGAACCGATCACACTGCAAGAATCATTTTCACATGCCCGCAGGTATGGATGCTCAGTTAGGTTTGACTAATGAAATATTATCTGATGCTGGAATGAATTACAGTAGAGTCCAATGTATAGATATGCAATGTAAGCCTAGCAGACTATAAGCAGGATCCTGTTGCCATAATGTCAGCAAATTGCAGGAAATTAAGAAGTCAATGTAGGCTTTTTCTGTAGTGTACCATTGAAAGTTAGGCTGATTGAGTTATCCCAACATAAATATATAAAATGGTTTCAGCCCTTATACAGCTTATCTCCTTCCCAAAGAAAGGTCTTGGAAGATACAATGACGAGTCATGTAATACCACAGGTTTTATTTGGCTTTAGGCTTCATAGACTGTGGTACTTCACCAGGCATGGAGAGTTACCTGGTTAGAAAAATATATATTCTGATGAAGAGTAAAGCCCCCCCCTCTCTCTTTCAAAAAACCCCTCTTCCAAATACTATCAGACATAATGTTTTTAAGGAAAATCAATATATTTATTTAAAATGTGGGGATGGCACAGCAGTTTACAAAGGCCACAGGTTACTGGAAAGATAGGTAAGTGGGTTCCAGACAAGCCTGTGACCGGAAGCTAAAATGAGTACACTGAGGCTATTGTACTTTGGACATACAATGAAAAGACAAGACACATTGGGAAAGAAAATTACTAGGAAAAAGAAGAAGGCCACAAAAAGGAAGACCTAGTATGAGAGGAAGCGTGCCAGCAGAAGCGCGCGCCGTTATCCTCTCATTCTATTTTTTACTCTAATCTGCTAAATGGGATAGCCAAATAGCATTTCACACACCTGGTGGCAGGAATGTTTCAGGAGTAGGGT